TTATGTGTGTTAAGTACGTAAACTTAATATCATATACACACACATTTATTGGTTTCTTTGTATATATATATATATATAGTTATATATATATATATATATATATATACATAAGTTTTTGTTTCTATGCGTATATATAGTTATATATATACATACATGTGTTTTGGTTTTTATGATATTACATATTTCATACTCTATTGTGTTTTAGTACTTATTGCATAGAATATGTAATTTCGTAAAAATATTATTTTATTAGTTTATAGACTTCAATATCAATTTATACATGTTTTACTAAGTCTATAAAATCATTTCACAAAGTTTCAAAAGTTGGTTTATGTCAAAACATCAAAATTCAAGTATCTTATATTTTTATGTTTTGGACTAATTTGTAAAATGATGATATTTTTTATTTTGGAAATCCTTTTTGGAAACCAGTCATTGTAGCATGTTTATTATCATGTCTACAATCATTCTCCAAAGTTTTACATTTTTTGGAATTTATTTGATATTTTTAAACAGTGTTTTAAAATCAGCAAACAGTTTTCAGAACCTGGTATTTTCATATATCAGTAGTCGGTCGACCGCACCAGTCGACCGCTCCTGTGTTCATTTGTTATTGGGCAGTAGAGTGTTTTTCGGTCGACTGGTGCTGTTGACCGAGAGCTCAATATTTCCATTGGTCGACCGCATCGGTCGACCAAAGATGTCTCTGCTTGTTCTTCTCGTTTTTGTTCTGGATAGCGATCGACCGAAATTTCCGCCGGTCGACCGCCAATGTATCCGTTGGTTCCTAACGGCTATTTTTCTGAGCTGATTTTCTGGGGCTGTTTTTGTTATTTGGTTTGGGGTTTTTGGTTGAGGTTTTGGAGGCTATAAATACCCTCTTTGATCTTAGTTTTCAAGTAATCAAAGAAGTTTTTAAACAAGGGTTTAAGCTTATTTAGTTTTGGTTTAAGCTTGTTTTGGGTTTGCTGTTACAAAGAGGAGTTTACATTAATTATTGAAGTGTTCATCTTCAACATTTCATCATCCTCTCTTTGTGTTTATAGAGAAGTTTCCTTAACTCTATTTTCTAGCATTTCTCTATTGTATTTCATATCAAT